ATTATATCTCAAGATTTAATCTAGGTTTTATATATTTTGGTAAATAAATTTCAGAATTTAGACTTACAGCTTTTTCGATTAGAAGAACATATTTAAAGATAAGCTGAAATCATGATTAAGTGAAAAACTAATGATATTATAGATGATTAAGATATAGGAGAAATAAAAGGCCAGAATAAGCTGTATTTATGGAAAATATCATTCTCCAAAATAGGGCTGACTTAGATGAATGTTTTTAGTTTCAGTAAAATTCAGGGAACAATATTGAGCCGTATGTCACGACAGGGCTGTTGGGGGCCACAGTCTGTCTTTTGTGTGACAACAGAGAGACCTCTACATTCTCCCAAAGGATTCTTACTGTTTCCTGAACACAGATGAAATCCCTGGGGTGAATGCATCTGTCCTAAAATGGAACTTTGGATATTATTTGAATGCTTCCCCTGCTTTGGCTCTTCTCAGTCACTTCTATTTTTAAAAATATAATTAGCCTAACTTTGACCCAATGGATAGTAAAAGAAGCACAGTAAGTCATTCTCCATTCCTCTTGCAGTTATGTATTGGGTGCCTATTATAAGAAATGTAACTTACCAGGCAAAGAGAATCAGAAGGAACTAGTGCATAAAAATAAACTGATAAGAAATGCATGAAGCAATATATGTCAAGTTATTAAAACATTTTTTCTAAAATATGCACTAGCAGTAAGATGAGCAGCTTAGGAAAATAAACCCAGGGGCATGAGGGCAACTGTTTAACAAATTATTTTTTTCACTGCCACCCAAGGTATTTAATATACCTTGGTATTTAACTGAATGTAAACTAAGATGATTTTTAATACATTTTCTGAAAAGCTGTGTTGTCAGAGAAACCCAAAGGAATTCAAACAAATGTTACTGAAATAGCAAAAAAACAGGAAAGGAACAATTGATAATACAATACGTAAAACAAAACAAAAACATCTCCTTCAGATAATCCAGGGGAATGCTTAGAAACCGTCCCATTTTACTGCTCTGCTGTTATTTTGTATCCCTTTTCTTGTGAAGAAAAAAATAATAGGCTATCTTAAGTAAAATTCTTTCCAAACACTGGAGAAGTATATTTTTAAAAAATGTTCTTGGTTCCAGGGTCAGATTTTCTTTCCAGTGCATTATGCAAATAATTATCTTCACAGAAGGCAGATTTTCTGCTCCAATGTTGTTTCCAGTAACCCTACACATAAATGTTCCAGAGTTCATTAGTTTAAAAAATAATGCAGTCATTGGACACGTTTTGTTAAAAGAGGTACGACAAACCCAAGAGACTGCGGGAGGGTGGCTTTTATTAAACCTCCTTCTCTGCTTAGGGAATGTTATCATCAGTTCACCTCCTCTGCCTCCCAATACTGCATTCCTTAGGTTCAGAAACACCTGGAGTAACCAGGGCTTCCTGTTCTCCCTGTTCTGGGAAATGAGAAGTTCTGCCTGGAAAAGAGAGCGGGAGGGGACTCCTGGCCCACCCCACAGCTAGGTCAGCTGGGGCTCAGGGGCCAGGCCTAAGATTTCCTAGAAAAATAATCAGGAAGCATTTAGACATATTTGATATTAAAAGGGCCCTGATTGTTTTTGTAATAATGATGATTTTGGTGGTTGCAATAGCAAAGTCTTAAGTATGAAGGAGACAGGCCAGCTGGCAATCCGGGATTCAGCAGCTTAAAGATCCAGAAGAGCCTCAAATGTCCATGTTTTTCTGCGTGTTCATTTTATTTCTTCACTCATTCTTAATAATTCAGGGTAGGGATGGGGGTAGAAATTTGGGTAAGGTCTCCATCCCAGACTTTTTCTCTTGCTTTTTTCTTTCTTTCCCAAGTAATCTACTTAGAACTTTGTGAATTTAAAAACAGTTATGTTTCCACTTGAATCAAATGTATGGAAGATGATATGTCATGAGCTTTGTAATGTTTTGAACAACCAATTAAAAAAAGAAAAAAAAAGAAAAACAGTTATGTATACAGAGACTTCACATTTTAAAATATTCTGTGGTTTGGATGACTTTTTTCAAAATCTTTTTCAGAAATAAGAACGTTTTCTGTAGTATTTATTTCATAAACTTAAATTTCACAAAGGTCTTAAAATAAAGAGCACTTAATTGGTCTTCTAAGTGAATGGCGGCGATCTGAGCCTGCATGCCAAACGTATAGCAGGTGCTCAATGAATAATTCTAGAACAAATGGGTTATAAGAGAATGACTAGATTATATCCAGGATTAATAAAATTAACCCTATGGGTCATCTTAACCTGAACATTGAGCTTTTCAGAAGTTTATATTGCCTTTAATTAGCCCAATGGAGAATCAACTTAAATAAAAGAAATGAAAAATAGAAAATAAGGGTCATCACCAGTATGACAGTAAAGATTAATCTTGGATTCTTACTATGTAGGGACTTAAATTTCCCTTCCCCTGAATTCTCTCCTATGTAAACTAAAGTGAAATTTGTTTCTGATTTTGTTGGGTAGACTGGGAAAAAAGTATCTTGAATAAAAGGGTGATTTTCAACTAAGGCAAGATCAGATTGGGTAGAGCTCATATAAAATAACAGATGAAGGG